TTGAGACGTCTTGGGAGAAGGAATCATGGTGCAAAGCCCTTCGTCTTGCTTCTTGCGAGGATGAAGAAAAACTAAAGTGGTTGGCGAGGTTAAACTTAGAGTTCCGGAATTATCTGACAAGACTAAATGCAGGATATCCTTCATTTATGAAACCATCTTCTAGTTTTGGTGCTGAATTAGTTGATAAATCGAGCAAGCCTGATAGTTCCTCGTCAAAAGTTCGTCAATTTCTGAAAAAAATTGCCAAAAAAACTACCAAGAATGCTCCTGAAAATAAGGCAAGCTGCAGTTCAAAATCAGGTTATGACGAACGTAAGATGAGTGAGAAAACTCATTTGTTCCAAGATCTTGACTTGGCCAGTGGTGTTATGAAGGTTGCTTCAACAAGAAAGCCTCTTGATTTTTGCAATGAGGATGTTACAGCGCCTTCGTCCATTGTATCCTCTACTTGCTCTGTCATTTCTGATGCAGACTCTGATGACAGGGTTTTTTGTGATGAAGGATCCCTTTGTTGGAATTTGTTAATATCACGGTTGTTCTTTGATGCTAAAAGAAATGAGCAGATGAAAAGTTCTTTGCAAGAACGGATTCAGGTTTGTGATATCCTTCTTTTACTTCATTGTGAGATGTAAAGTAACTTATTCGCTGTCATACTAAAAAAACCTTTTTAAGTTGATTAAGGTAGAGATTGACTTGTTTACTTAAGTTGTTTAATGCATTTTACTTTGAAGCTTCATGTGTATATTTTAATGCGATAATGTTTACGATCACTTGAAGAGAACTTTGCTTTGTCTAAATAAGCTATAACTCAGTGTGGTCTTTATTTGTAGAGAACGCTCTCCAATATCCGTAGCCCCAGTTACATAGGTGAAGTAACCTGCGCAGCTGTTGATGTTGGTAACCTCCCTCCCTATATACATGCAATGAGGGTTCTTCCCTCAGACATGAACGAGGTCTGGGCTTTTGAAATTGATGTTCAGTACTCTGGTGGTGCAATATTGGATCTTGAGACAAGGCTTGAAGTTCAGGACCTTGATTTACATGAAGGGGACGATGCAAGTGTAGATTCTAGTGCTGTTGATGATGTCAAATCACACTTGTTAGAAGGTTTTGAGGACTTTGATGAACAATTTATGCACTCGGACGACCACGTGGATAAGATGGACCAAAGAGATAGAGGTGATACACCAGCACGTATGTAGCAAAACCTCTTTATACGCGGTGCATTAAGTTCCCGCTATACGCGGAGTCGGGGGAAGGGCCGGACCACAAGGGTCTATTGTACGCAGCCTTACCTTGCATTCTACAAGAGGCTGTTTCCACGGCTCGAACCCATGACCTCCTGGTCACATGGCAGCAACTTTACCAGTTACGCCAAGGCTCCCCTTCCCTATTGGGAAAATAATTATGTTTTAATCAGTTAGTAATCTGAAGTACATCAATCAGGTGTTTCAAACGCGAGTAGAAGCTCTAATGGCATACCTAGTGGCTCACCTCCTGGATCAAAGTGGAAATCAATTTTACATTCTGTGGCCAAGCAGGTTTCACAGGTTGGTTACAATATTTTGCTTATCTCTAGCAATTCAACCTTGCTTTTCCCTGAAATTGACTTCCTAGCTCTGCTCTGTTTAAATATCTATCTCATTGGTAGATGCCAATAGCTGAAGCAGACTAGAGTATTACGATACTTCTGAACCAATTGCATAATTCTCTGAATAGTGCTCAAGAGGTAATGCACATGAGAAGTAAATTGGTGCTTTTCTCTTAATATATTTGGGTGAAAACGTTAGTTCTCCATTGTTAGGGTATAGCAATATAACTATTTTGTGCTTCTTGAGCTTTTGCACATATTTTCTATAATGATGGCCTCCTTATTTTGCTACTGAAAAAAGGAACTAAAACTCATCATGTCATTCAGTTGGCTTTGATCTTCTCTTTGTTAGTTGATGAGAATAGAACACGGCAGTTAAAATGAGGACGCAAGGTGGGAAATAAAATGTGGTGAAATGGATCACAAATGAAAATGGGATCGACTCATTGTACAATCATGAGACTTGTGCTTCGCTGATGTTTCCCTATTGCAGTAGTGAATGGAAAGTCTTATCTTATATGTCTTCTGTTCATCTGCTGTTTCAAGTGGAAGAAACTTGTCGATTTCTAACCAATTGTATTTTCAACATTCAGGTTCCACTCTCTCTGGGGATTAGGGTTGCATCTCTACGAGGAACATTGAGGTTGTATGTAAAGCCACCACCTTCAGATCAGATATGGTTTGGATTCACATCGATGCCAGATATTGACATCCATTTGAACTCTTCTGTTGGGGATCGTAAGATATCAAGTGGACACCTTTCTTTGTTCCTAATCAGTCGAATTAAGGTTAGTTCGAATGCTAATCTGTTCTATTATTTGAATGTCATTCATCAAGTAAATTGAGGTTGCCAGTCAGCTACACAAGCTTGTGACTGCTGTGAATGCCAAAGGCACAATATACGTAAAAATGGGCTGAAATTTAGGAGACAATTGTTCATTCACCACTCCCGACCAAAAATCTCATACAAGAGAGTGATATTCCCCATCTTTTATTCTTCTCCTATTTCTTTCAACTTAAAGCACCATAACAGCTGTTTGGCTATAACTGGCACAATCGAAATATCCACCTCAAAAGATCTACAAGTTGATAATTGTCTAGGCAAAAATTTAAATTGGTCTCAGATAGATAATTACAGTTTTACACTACTGCATTTCTTCTCTATATTGTCGTGATTTGCATGTTTGCTTGGAGCTGAGGGTCTACTGGAAACGGCCTCTATACCTGCACAAGATAGGGGTAAGGCTGCATACAGCCGTACACACTACCCTCCCCACACCCCAACTTGTGGAATTATACTAGGTTTGTTATTGTTGTCGTTCAGAGAACTACAAGTTACTTCGAGTTACGGAAAGCATAGGAGAGTAATCCAATTACTTTATTTTAGCTAGGAGAGAGGATGATGGCACTTTATATGCACCAATAGAGTGTGCAGCCTGCAGGTAGAATACACCAAGTGTGGTTAACCATTCTTTTATTTTTAGTTCCTTTTACTTTTACCTTTCTGTAGCACCTATGATTTCAAATGACTGGAAATTTTTGCACCATGTTGACTACTATAGAAAAACCAACTTAATGGAGGAATCAATTCCCAGATTCTACACCAATGGACATGTCAGCAATGTTTCCATATATATTGTTCTTTTTTCATAAATTTGGATATACTCTGAAAACATTGGTGAAATTTTCTTTGAGGTTGAGCTGGTGCTTTTTACAACTGATGCAGGCTGCTATCCGTGAAACTGTCGTACTTCCACACTGTGAGAATGTATGCATCCCTTGGATGATAGCAGAAAAGGATGACTGGGTTCCCGTAAAAGATGCTCCATATATATGGATTAATAACAAATCTGCAGGTAATGCCAACAAACCAGAAGCGCGGATCTCCCATCCTGGGGACACAACACAAGTAGCTGAAGCAGATAGGAGAAGTGATGCTGAAAGAGGACTTAACGGAGGTGGATGGGCTAGTAAAAAAAGCAAGTCACTGGATCCCCACATATTCTGTTCAGTTCCTAGGGGTAAGCCTAGTTTCAATAGCAGAAGCCTCACTAGCAGTCCAGAAAGAAAGCACGTAAATCCCAAAAAACTTCACGGAGATGCACAACAAGGCAGGTTGTCCGATCCACAGTCATATTTATCAGTTCATAAGAGCCAATCTTCATCAGATTTTCATGTCCCCTTGCTGAAGCACGATGAAGAACAGAGAGAGACTCATCGCATGAGCTCAGAGAGCATGTCACCTTCTCATCTAGAAGAACACAATCATTTTACAGAAGATGATATGAAACCAAAAAGAACAGGGACAAGGGCTAGGATGCATGGTTTGCGGAAAAAAATGGGGGAAAAACTTGAAGAGAAGAAGCGTCACATAGAAGAGAAGGGGAGACACTTAGTGGAAAGGATGAGAAGCCACAAGGAATATTCCTAAATTTGCAGTTTCCTCAGCTCAGTTTGATTGCACAAGGGAAAACATAGGTCTGTGTTTTTAAAGGGCTATTTTGTTAGGCTATACACAAAGTTTCAGTTGCACCAATTCAAGAGCTCATGACCATGTGAAACAGCTTGAGGAAAGTAAGGTTCCATAGTCAAGGGCCCTGATCCTGTTGGACAAAGTTCTCATTTCAGTTGTAAAACTAAAAGTAAAATCCCAATAGGAACCCATTTCAACCACAGAGTCACATACAAGTTTACTTGCTTTAAACTCTTGATCAGAAAAATGCTAATGATTCCGGCTGTCCACATTTGCTGTTAGTCGATACAAGGAGGTCGTCAAAGAAGCACGTAACAATGGAAAAGCAAGATTATCATTTTCTTTTTGTTTAGCAATAAGCGTAGCACTTCCATGTTGCACGTTCATAAATATTGAGTTTTCGGTATCGCATATGCTAATTGCTAAGGTAATAAATGGCTCGTGCCAAAGTAGAGAATTGCAAAACCAACCAAAGAACTGAAACAGGATGATCTGAAAAAATTAGGAGAATACGACTATACATAATGCAAAGAGGCGCCATTTTTTTAACTTCATTCAAAAAGATAAAACCTGGAAAAGGTTAAAACTGGAAATAATCAACACTATCCTTGCGAATTATATTAACTTTTGCTAACTACATAACAATCAAAAAGCTTTTAAGTGAAAGAAAACAAAAACGGCTTTAAGCAAACCGCTATGGCAATTTAGATTTAGGGAACTTCTTACCCTCTTCGCATATGACAAAAATGAAAATTATAGCTGAGATATACTTCTCGCCAGCTAACAAACTCAATACCAAACCATCACACCGTTTTACTGCATCAATACAGTTCTAACTCACTCAAACTAGTTGTCGAGTAATTCACATTGCAGAACCGATTGGTAGAACTTTTGCCCACCCCTACGATTATCCAAAAGCTTGATCACAAAAAAAGGTTCTCAAGAAACGTTAACTGGAAAGACATGCTACAAATGATTAAAAATAATTTAGTACATCACCAAATCCAAAATTTTATAACTTGCATTGTGAACAAAACCGTCTGTCATAGAAACTCACATTATCTAATCTTAATCAAAAAGAACTTTCTAAAGGAAGCAGGTCTCATTCCCAGCCAGTAGGAGCTGGAGCAGGGATCACTTCTGCTCCAGAAACTTGAGCAACTTGAGCAGGAGGAGCAGCTGCAGCGTCCCAACCTCCCTCTACCGCTGAAAAACATGACAATATGGAGTTATAATAGAAGAAAAAGTACATAAAATCAGCAGATACTGGCATAAGAGATCTCAAACTAAGAGAATCTCAGAAACTCAGACATCAATCAGATTCCCATAAAAAGCAGACAAATTAAAACATTGGAAAACAAAAAGTAAGATAAAGAATACAAAGCCACGTCTTCCCAAAGCACCTGTGACCAATAGATTTAAAAAACTAATACCACAAAACATGACACTAACCTCCATCTCCAGACCAGCCACTAGCAACTGCAGGAACAGCAGGTGCGCCATCTGCAGCCCATTGAGCATCAGGGATTTGGTTGCTAGACCAATCACCACCAAGGGCAGCACCACCGTACTCTGCATAATCTGCAATGGCAGGTGCTTCCTCTTCTTGCTGCTCCTTTGCCTCTTCAGGCTCTCTGTAGAAGAAGAGATCCACCTACAGCAGAAAGAAATTAAATATGAGAAAAATAGATGTTTAACCACAACAAAATACAAAAATAATGCAAATGGAACTTGAATTTTAACTTCAGAAGAGCAATTAAAACCAGTACACTAGCTAGGAATTTTTGATGAGAGAATAGAAGTGCTTCCAGTTAGTCCTTACCATGACATCCCACTTGTGTCCCTGAGGAATGCTACCGCGCATCTGCAGTACCATCCTTCCTAAGAGCCAGAAAAGAACACCGATACTGTGCTTCCCTTTGTTATTGGCAGGGATACCAATGTCAACATAGCGCATCGGTGAATCAGTGTCACAGAAAGCAATAGTAGGGATGTTCCCAAGTGCAGCTTCCTTGATAGGCTGCAAGCAAAGGACTCAAGCTTGTTATAAATAGTCAACACGCCAAAAGGAAACAAGTGATGTTACAGAAATTAATATCAACCTGGTGATCAGTTCTTGGGTCAGTGAGAATGAGGAGTCGGGGCTCACTGTATGAAGTCTGAAGCTGGTTGGTAAAAGTACCGGGAGTGTGACGGCCAGCAATGGCACTTGCGCCAGTGTATTGAGCAAACTTCAAGACAGCTCTCTGGCCATAGGGCCTGGCTGATTGCACAATTATGTCCTTTGGATTCTCAATAGCAACAATAACCCTCGCAGCCATTTGCAGCTTCTCCCATGTCTTTCCAAGGTTAATAATGTAGATACCTAAGAAATAAAGATCAGTCAAAGATATATAGAGAGATTGATAAACAAAGTGAATAAATCACTTTGCTAATACCATGATTATGAAGTCTAATTAATCTTTTAATCTTAATAAATGAATAAACAGATATTAGTATCGCAAGTGATCTAAGATAGCATTACAAAATAATTTCATTCTGTGTCATTTAATCACGCAAGCTATCTTTCTAGAAATGAAAATCATCATAGTATAGTCCATAAACAAAAATAAATATAAATAATAAGCAGATTGCAACGCCCATTGATGGCCAGAATGTGCTAGTACTCTAAGGTCAAAGTATTCGTTTTCCGAGCATAACTAAGAAAAACCATATCGCTTACTATCAAGCCGAATATTTTTTACTTCATTCAGGCATAGGTACTAGTTTCCTCCAGGTATATGGATCTAATATTTTTCTTCAAACCGCTAAATAAGTACTATTATCCTAATTCACAAATGTAGCAGCTTAACCAAGTGTATCTCAATAACCAAATCCTCTGATACACCAAAAAAATATTGGAGAATTATACCTTATGCAAACACCAACTGTTTAGATATAGATAAAAGGTAGCGATTAAACCTCGTTGATCTAGATAGACTGAAAAAGAGAATATTATATAACGGAGGTAAAGAGTATTACCGTCGTTGCGGCGCTTGAAGACGTAACGCTCCATTTGGAAGTCGCAGTTCTTAGTGCCGAGGTGGACTTCAGCAGCCAACATCATCTGTATGTCAGCCTCCTTCGTCGTCAGTGTTCTTACTTCATGTGTAGCCGCCATTGTTACTGCTTGCTCTCTTCTCTCCCTTTGCTTTTTCCTCTGCTTCTAGGGTTTCACTACGGCAATAGAGAGACTCGTCTGAGAACGTAGTGACGTTAAAAAGGCTCTTTGTTTGGGCTTGGCTTTCAGGCTTTCCCGATGGGCCTGGGCTTTGCTGCCTTCTGTACCCTGGTTATTCGACTCTCACTGGTAATTGCTTGTTTTTTTTTTTTAAGAAAGAATTAACTTAAGGGTCTATTTGGAAAGCCACTAGGTAATTAGAATGATGTAATTACCAAGATAGTAATTGCATAACTTAGTAATTACAGTATTATAATTACGATGATCTTTTTGTTTCCAATAATATAATTACAAATGTACTGTTTGATTGCACTAGTGCAAGTACACAATTAGATTAAATTTTAAATGAAATAATTATCAAAACTAAAATTTTAATATAATAAATATATACCTATAAATAATTTCTTATAATTCCAAATGATATTAGATTTGCTATTTAAGAAGCATATTTTTTTCTTGAATATACAATAATTAGTAATCATATATTATACTACTAATATTGTAAAAGTAATTGATATCTATATATTTCAAATTAATAATATTTAGCTTAATTAGTTATAAAAACTAAAACATACATTTTTTAAGAACGACATAGAATATACATTTGATAAAATAAATCATATTTATAAATATAATGTCATAACATTATTCAAATATTTGACAAAACTAATCTATCAATTATAACTAAAAAAATAAATAACATGCAATGTGAAATAACAAGCCAACACTACTAAAATAAGTAAATTAGAATCATAAATTTAACACAATTTTAAAATTAAAAAAAATAGTTTAACATATAATTCCAACATAATAAAAATAAGTTCCAATACAACTTAAGATTAGGCAATATAATAAGTTTATAACCTCATTCAACAACGAAAGTCTACTTTAATGACATCAGTCATTGTATGTCAAGTTTGTTAATGACTCATTATTTCTAACATTAGAAGGTATAGTTTCAAAAACTAGAATAATAACGTAGTTACACTAAATGAAGAAAATAAAATAAATAAGAAATAAATACACGAGTAATTACATGGAATCACAAGAAGTAAAGGTAGAGAAATAAAAGATAAATAATATACAAAGAAAAATGTATTTTAAAATTAAAAACTAAAAAAAATTAAAGTAATGGAGAGAAAAATTTTATAAAGAAAATAAATTAAAATACAGACAAAATATAAATAAATGAAAAAGTAATCTTGTAATTACACAATGTAATTACCATCAATTCTCATCTCCCCCATGAGAATTGGAGAGTGTAATTACACATCTCCAATTACACCAAATTCTATGCTGACCAAATAATTACTTGAATAGACAAACATGCCAAAGTGTGTAATTACACCCAAATCCAATTCCTAGTAGCTTTCCAAACAAGCCCTAAATAGCTATTCACGCAATCATTTAAATTAAAAATATTAAGTGTTTATAATAATATATAATTAGTGTATAACCTATTAAAAAATTAGAAGATGAAAGGACTTTCTAGTTAGACGCGTGAAATTGGCTAAGCATTTTATTAAAACAAATATAGACCTAAATGGATGGTTTTCCTAAATAGATGGTTTTGTGTCTATTATCTGTTATTCCTCTTGAGTTGAAACCTAAATTCCATAAATTCTAGCAATTAAAGAAATACTTTGGAACTCATAAGGGATTTACTTGTCTATATATTATTTCGTTCGATCTTTTAGGTCTTGGCTTCACCTTGATGGTGGCCACCACACCCTTAAAGTCTATAGATAGACTTTTGGAATCCTGACGTATTTGCTTACCTGAACATAATTTTTTTTTATGAAAAGAAGAAATATGGTTCATTTCACAAAATAAAAAACCTTTTTTACAAGGTACAAATAAAAAATTTGCCAATTATTTATGTAAAAATATCCTGGGACCCATTGGCAACTTTTCAGCCATGCCTTTAAAAAATAGCTATTGTCCTGGAGTTTAAAAACTTTACAACTGAAATCCCAGAATAATATCATGGAGTTTCGCTGGTGAAGTTTGAAACTCCAGAATAGTGGTTATTTTTTACTTAAAGGGGTTGAAAGGTAACTAGTTGTAAATGACAATTTAGGAGCACTAAATCACGAACTCTATTTCATAGAGGTTTTCCTAATAAAATAACACATTACTCAGTGGATAATAAGTAACAATTCGAATCCTATAATCACGAGCTTTATTCCTTACGTCTCTGTTGTCACGACTCGGATTTTCACTCTTGGGAGTCGTGATGGCGCCTACTAATGTGAGCTAGGCAAGTCAATCCTTAACGACTTACTTCATTAACAATTACTTCTTTTAACAATTATCAATGATAACATGAAAGCAACGGAATTAAATAATTATGCGGAAGACTTAAATTAAAGAAGACGAAACAATAATGCGAGAATCAACATATGCCTCTACCCAAGAGCTGGTGTCACATTACTCACGAACTTCTAAAAGTACTAAATACAATCGTTTGAAAGAAAATATAAACTGTTTGTCTCGAGTACATGAGATAACAGACTGAAATAAAAGATAGAGGAGACGTCGGGCCTGCAGACGCTTGCAAGGCTACCTCGGTATCTCACTGGACTGAAGGCTGGCTCCCGCGCTACTGCTGCTGTCCAAGATCTGGATCTGTGCAAAAGAGCACAGAGTGTAGCATCAGCACAACCGACCCCATGTGCTGGTAAGTGTCTAGCCTAACCCCGGCGAGGTAGTGATGAGGCTAGGACTAGACTCCAGATAAACCTCTGCAGTTATACGATATATGGCGGAAAAGTAAACAAGTAATAAGCAGTTAAAGTTGGGGAAGGGAAACATGCTTCGGGGATAACAGTTAAAAGAAAATAACAGGGAATAATAAGGAAGCTAGCAATATAACTTCTATCACAAATGAAGAAAATAATGGCAACTTTCACTTTCAGTTTCCTCTTGTTCCAGGCGTGCAACCCGATCTCATTCCTCATATCTCGTGGTAGGCGTACTACCCGCTCCCATTTCATCATTTCTCGTGGTAGGCGTACCACCCGCTCCCATTTCATTATCTCTTGTGGTAGGTGTCACACCTCTTTTTTACACAACATCCCGGAGGAGGGCATATGTAAAGAGAGTTTTTCCAATCAAAGGACAACCGAAACAGGATTCTTTATTAATTTCAGAGTCGCCACTTGGGAATTTTTGGCGTCCCAAGTCATCGGTTTTAATCCCGAATCGAGGAAGATATGACTCNCGTGGTAGGCGTACCACCCGCTCCCATTTCATTATCTCTTGTGGTAGGTGTCACACCTCTTTTTTACACAACATCCCGGAGGAGGGCATATGTAAAGAGAGTTTTTCCAATCAAAGGACAACCGAAACAGGATTCTTTATTAATTTCAGAGTCGCCACTTGGGAATTTTATGGCGTCCCAAGTCACCGGTTTTATCCGTTTAACATTCTGCGAACCAGAAATCTGAGTAAGGAATTCTATTAATCCGGGAGAAGGTGTTAGACATTCCCGAATTTCTTGGTTCTAGCACGGTCGCTTAACAATCTATACTTGGCCTAATTATCTTGATTTACTAAATATATTTTTTGAATTTTATTGCATAATTTTAAATTTATTACCGCTTTTAGTTAGACTGTTTATAATTATAGAACTGTCTTGAAACGAATCACGCGTATGTATATTCGTTTTTTATATATAAAGAATCGTGTCACGCGTACGTATACACAATGAGGTTAATAACATATTTTTATTTTATATTTTTTTAAAAAAAATGAATTTTGGCCGAAGTTGTGCGTGATTAAAACAAAACTACGAACATTCGTCACTCTTGTATGATTAAATATTGAGTTGCGCACCTCGGACTACAGGAGATTTGATAACCTCCGAAAACCCCCTTTTTATTAAGAAGATTTGCTCGAAGTTGCGCGAACGCATACTCCGAATTGTCTTTAGAAATGTAATCATGTCACGCGAACGTGTCCACAATTACACAATAATATTCTTAATGGCAACATAAATTTTTCTACAAATATTTATTATGTCCGTCTATATTAAATATGAAAGCCATGGGAAATTTCTGAACGGAGTGCCTCTAGATTTACAGAGAATCAAGATTTATTAGGTGTTGACCACATGTTATATGGTTTAAATGTGTGAATTATACGCCTCAAAACTATTCAAATTAGAAGATTTAATGAGATAAAGAAAAAAAAAATAATGTGCAACTAAAATTACAATTTTATCGTGAATACAATATCCGTAATTCGTTTATGCGCTTTAGTGCTTGACAATTATATGCACAAGTTATTTATTATCTTACTAGGCTTAGGACTAAGTGTGTGTGTTAAAAAAAAACTTGCCAAGTGAATTACTTGTAAAACTAGGAAGAAATTAGTTGATAAGCATACCAATTGTTTCAAAGAATTTCCATTATTCTACTCGGAGCAAATTCTACTTTGTATATTTTTTACTTAAAATACCGCAATCAGTACTCATAAATCCAATCTTCTTCTACACAACTTGTTTTTAGTCCAAAGTTCTAATTATTCTGTTAATTTGCTTACGATGATTGAGTTTGGGACAGATAAAATCAAACCAATTTTTATCTCGGCTTATGCAAGCTATTTACAAATACTAAATCTATACTTTGTAATAATATTGACATTATTTTTATATACTATTTTTTATAAGAAAATGAGCTAATCGCATTCCTAAAATAAATGGGTCATTTACTGTTAAGAAAGGAAACTAATTTACAAATTGAAATAAATTGACACTACATATACCGCAAATACACATCTGAACCTTTCGGAATATTCCAATATCTTAATCGTAATGGATTATATCAATTCACCCCTCACTTATGGTTATCCCCATGGCTGTTATCATACCATATTACATATAAACAAGAATA